TGACAGTGGTTACCGGTTTGATTGGGAATCGAGACACATTCGCTACTAGACGCATGAGCTCGACCAAAGGGTGCATGATTCGATGAACCGGACTTCAACATGCGGTCGAAAACGGTTTTCACATACCGCTCCGTCGACTCTCGGATGGTCTAAGCTCCGGCTGTGAATTCCATAAGAAAATAGAGCTCCTTTGGCTTGGGCAACCTGATAGTGTTTCGTCCATTAGCAAATCACAGACCTCTCTCATCCTTGTAGAGGTGATGGTACCGTGATTTGCTTGGCACGCGCTCTGGACTAAGGCGCATTTGCAAATAATAATAATTACAATGATAATAATAATAACAAGAGCTATCTCAAAAATAAAGGTAAAGGTCTTTCAAAATAACACTCACTTGGAATATATCTGGTGTAACATGGGTCATTTCGTCCTGACCAAGTCGGTTGGAACCCTCGGATTTGAGACCGTCACTCCAGGCAGAACCTGGTCTACGATCCTCCACAGATAAACGGTCAATGGTGGACTGATTTACCAGCGGTGCGGTATTATCGCTGAATCCATTACCAACAACCAATCCAGCAGCTTGGGAAGCCATTTTGCGCAACATACGTGGGGGCAAATTACTGGCGAGAGCGCTGCCACCAACACCACCTAGAGCAGCATTCTTGGCGGCTGATGAATGACGCCTCGTTGTAGGGCCAACCAAGCCACGCGTCCATCCGGAATCTGGGTCATCTAGGCGATCATGAACGGTGTTCCACGAAGTTTCGTTAAAAGATTTAGTGCCGTTCGTCTGGCTATAATTATTGTTGTTGTTACCATTTTGATTGTTCGACCCACTTGTCGGGCCATTTTTGTTTCCCAGGAATCTTCTGCCATTTGAATCGTTCGGTCTGGTGCGACTGAACGAACCGTTGGTAAATGAATCTTTCGAGCGTAGACTGGATCCAATTAGAGTCAGATCACCGGTACCAGAACGACATAACTCTTCGCCCATTCGTGTCAATTCTAGCCAACTTTTAGCATCTGCAACCCCCTGGTCTGTTGACCCACCACAGAAAGGGGCCAGGCGACCTGATTTAGGGTTGTTCGTAGAAAGGCCGGATAGGAATGGTGCAGTACTTGCTATAGCGGCGTTGGCTGTGGCGGCTAGATGATTTGCATAACCACTACCAGGAACATCACGAGAACTGGCAGAACGTTCAGCTGGAGTAGGTGCTACCAAAGTACCAGAATCCTGAGTTCGAAAACAGAGGGACGTTTGATAAATAAATGTTTGTGAAATGGCGTTCTTGGTGTTGATGAACAGAAATTGGACGAAAGGCACACCCGATCAATTGGAAACCTAGTACCAAATGAGAAATTTTAATGGGCTATTTACCAAAAACGTGTTTATGCTGTGAGCTACTTGGCACATAATCAGGATACATTAAAGCATATCTCATTACACACAAAGTTAAATAAATCGCAGTGAAAATACACTAAAACGGCAGTGCGAAGGAACATTCTCGTAATAGTTTATTGGTCCTGTGCTTGAACCAATACTGCAAGAGGATGGGGAGCGAGAGCGTGGGAGTCTTCTACGGTCTAAAGGATAACTAAGAGAAGTGCAACATCTAGTGACTGAAATCTGATAAGGATGACTAGCATCCTATACACAGGAAGAGGAACACAAGTAAACATAGTAATAACATAGAAGGGGTAGTGAGCAGAGTGCCCAACAGTGAACTAATGAATGCAATTTGGCAGTTAAGGGTTAGTCGATCAGCCGGATGGGTTTCGGTTGAATAAAACTAAGAGGAGCACCACACGAAACTCCAACCCACATGTGACTAGTATTTGACTGTGGGTGAAATCGACCGCTGTATAGTGGTAGAAGATAAACTGGGATGAAGAAATGTCCGGTGCAGAATTGAGAAGCAAATATGAGCACAGCGCGAGGAACAAGCTGAGATATAAAAGGAACAGCATAAGGAAGAAGGTAGAGGTAATTCACAAAGAGAAACAGTCTGCATGAAGCATTCGGATTGAATCATTGGAAACATACGGGAGAGAATGGTTTTCAGAGAAAGTAAGAGATTTTGGAACCATAGATGCAACAAGATTGTTGGTCCCAGGATAGGTATTCGCGTACGGAGTTCAGTCACTAGATCTGCATTACGGTCACGAGCGGTATTGCTACTGGTATAGCGAGAATCTCAGCGAGAAAAGAAGCCATAGGCGGCATCAGCATTAATGGATTGGGTTAGGGTTTTGGGGTAGATCATAGATGAATCACCATTATTATCATACCGTGAGACACGGGAAGCGAAAGTCACTGATCGCTGCCAAGCCCAAAATACACACGAAGTTAGTGAGGATGTACGAGACAGACCGGGATTGGGTACAACTGAGAGGAGGCGAAGAAAGTGAACCTCTATGGCTGACACACGGTATACAACCAGTACTAACCTTTCCAAATACTCTGACCTGAAAACATTAAGAACTTCGCTGATGCCAGTTTGCTATGTCCTTCGATGTTTCCAATCAATCAGTTACGAATCTTTTGAACCCCCACTCAAAAACGAGAGTCGCCTACTCTACCTAATTGCTTTGTGCATTTCTTCATACTTTGTTTCCACGTCAGACGGAATAAATCGAACTTCAACCACAGCTTAAATTCATGATTGTAAAAGCCAGGATTTTGTAGTCTGGAGGTAGCAACTGATTAGCGGTGCTCGAAGAGAAGAGGACCTGTAAAGTTGAAGGACAGCGGTGTCCCACCTGAAGGGATTTGAGTTTTGGTCAAAAACAGGGTGAGAAAAATCAGACTGCAGTTGATTTAGCGGTTCAGACTGCGAATGTTGGTGAGGATTGAGTTTATAGTGTGTGTGTGAGTGAAGGGAACGAGTGTGCAATATTGTGTACTGAAAACATTCGCAATGTGATAAGAAAAACGGCAAGAGCAGTGAACGTAATAGTGTGTCGGACCGACTACCTACCCATAATCTGAGATTAAGAAATGCTCAAATATCCTTGCAACGGTATTTCGAGTTTGCCATTCAATAAAACTATCCCAGAGTCCATGGCTTTTTACTACGGACTCCCAATTCAATTCTATCTTTTTTTCATTTTTTTATTTTACTTTCTTTTATTGAATATGCAATGGTACAATTTTCAGGAAGGGGGAAGCGGCCAATCAAAGGGCTGCCATTCAACACACAATGGGAAGTCAGGCGGTGGTGGTGGGATTTGAACACATCCCCGAGGTGACAATTTGGTGACGTTATCACCGGGCCATCACCGCCCAATTGTGTCCGGCACACAAAAAGCACCATCTTTCAATATACTTTAAATTGAAATCAAAGCCCCCCCCGGGGGGGGGGGTATAGGCGATTAAGAAGGCCCACTCCATAAAAATTACAAACAATAAAGAACTGGAGGCAGCAACTAAACGAAAACCGGTAACCCAAGCCATGGGACATGGAGTAGTGAAATACATTAGGCCCCACTAGGTTAGGCGTGGTATTAGTAAGAATAAGGGCCTGTGTGCAACGATAGTCGAATACTTTACAGAGAATAACACAGCAGCTTGCGCAGCACAAAACGAACGCGGGAGAAAAATGGAAACTTTTAATTCGCATTGTGATGAGTGCCGTGGTGGGAGCTTACAAAAAAAAGATGGCCAAACAAGTCATCGAAATAGCAAAACCAAAGTACATTAAAAACGAAACAACAAAAACGGAATACAGGTGTTACACAGAAGTCATCAATCATAACGAAAGGCTATTCTAAATAAGATATACAGTTCTCCACTTCCTTCCGAATCGCAGCCATATCAAGACAGTTGCTAGCAAAGAGCTGCAAAATGAGCTCCCGTAATAGATGCAGGTGTCCTCGAGCCAGATTTCTGCAGTTATATGTGTCAATAGAAGTTTTCATTATCGTTATTAGTTTGGAAGTTCGCGAGATCCATGAATTGAATTCACCAATCAGAGTCATTTCAAAAGTAGATTCAGACAACTTTTCTGATTTTTGAACTGGTTGCGGCAAAAGTGCTTCGGCGAAACGGAATGTATCCCGATCTACGAAGATTAATTGAGGTGCATTTGTTCGTGTGAAAGGTTGGAGCAAATCTGTTATTTCCGGAATGACTGCGGTTTCTGTATATTTAGAAAATTCGGTATCTCGGGTAACACAGAAAGCGGACGGGCCGTTGAGGTTATCCGCAGTGAGCAACATCGCCAGTGACGGAAAACTGTCAGCAGTGTGCACTTGCATTTGACTGTGTTAACATTGCATTTACATAAAATCGATAGAGGAAGTTTGGATTCAAAATCGGTTCACAAGCCAGACGCACTTGTGAGGCGAGACACTAATCGCTCAACCGTTTGCTGTAGGTTAGACAATAGCCTGATAATGGGTTTTGTTTCTTCTGAAAATTCCACAAGCGAATCATTCTCTCTATGGAGAGCATAGAGTGCAGAGATAAGACTGTCACATACTAACTTTTTGGATGCGTGGGAGAGCGGATCGAAGTCAACAGTCTTCGGACGGATGACATATGTTGGTTTACGTGAATTAGGATTCCCGATCCAAAGCGGTCTCATGTATCGGAGCAGAGGACGATGTCCATCGAGCAATAGAACTGAGGCACGACTGTGTTTGATTTTATAAAGTTTGCAGGCTAACAAACCCAGATATTTTCGTGTGACTCTCGGGTTACTTAGAAGCATCACAATGTCACAGTCATTTTGCAATCCTGAACGAAGTCGGACTACATTTGGATAGTACGGAATATCCGTCCAAGAATTTATGGCTGATTCTTCGGGTTGATCTCGTATGGTTTCAAAAGTCACGTTAGTCATACTAGTATTATACAAGTGGAATTCGTTGGCGAGTATCGATTAGCTGGTTGTACGAGAGCACCTGACCCAAACATATCGATCGAGCATACAACGAACTGATTACACGTGACCGATCACAACTAGCTTGGTCGTGAAACGTCGAGGCTAGCTAGATAGTAAGCTGAAAGAGTGAATCACAATTACAAAATTGTGCGTAGGTGTTTGTCACTGCTGCAACGTCTTTTACTTTAACCTTACACTGAGCAAACCTACGGCATACTCCACACAAAAATGACTTAAGAGACGAGTGACGAAACTGGCTAGTTACTCTATCTCTAACGATTTTCAAGAGATTCGCAACCTTAGGACTGAGTGCTCTACATTTTAGGTTTGCTTAATGACAACAGTTTCGAATTAACTATGGTTCAATTCAGTTTGTACAACCATTACCCAAGCATTTTCGTGCGCCGGTTTCGGTTGCTGTCTTTCGGCTGCTCATTTGGATGAAGTAGTTAATAAGAGAAAAACAGGAAAGTCGAAAGTAGACTGGGAAAGAAAACGAAGAAGTTCAGTGGATTAAAGTTGTAAAGAAATTGATAAGATGCACGAACGTCGTCGTTTATGACACTAAGCCACATCACTGTGTCTCTAACCATTGATTACAATGATCCCGAGGTACCCAACCAGGGAGCCTAACGGTACCTAAATGACCAAGCCTCCTGGTTGGGGTTTTCATACCCTCGTGTCAGAACTTATTTCGATATTTTGAACTATCATTACTTCCCTAATCCGACAATGCAATGCGTCGAAAGTGATGTTCGATCGTTACTTTGTCATACCACGTAATGAATATACGGGTAACGTCAAACCAAAATATTAGTGATCTACAGGATCTGGTCCCCTGATGGGTGCCAAGACACCGATAATCCGCACCCATGTCTAGGTGGACCTTAACGATCGCATTTGTTAAAACAACAATCGGGCATGGTGTGCGCACCAAGATTGTATTCGAAAACCGTTAGCCAGGATGTAAGATTTATCTTCAACTTCATTGCCTCTGCAGTTAAGGTGATATCGGGAATGAAAACAACACAATAATACATCATTGTGCACTTCAAAGGTGAAAAACAGGAAAAGTTACACAATAACGCTCAAACCACTTAGGTGCGCACCGAAACAATCAATATCTTTAAACCGTCGTCTACGTACCCTTAAGTCAGACTTGCCACCTTGGAGGGGAACATCAACGGTACTTTTATCGAACGAGGATGGAGTTGTTTATTATATTTTATTCATTAAAAAAATAGGACGGAGGGAGTAATCCAGACGCACAGTGCTTTTCTGCGATGAAATTGGACGAAAGCTCGAAGCGGCTTCATTTGTTCGTAAACAGAAAATTAAACAGAAATGAACTTCGACATTCTTTGGAGAGAGAACGCCGAAGTTCAGAGTGATTGACTTAATTGAAAACCGGTTCCGGATTAAGGAAAGTAGAAATGACGAACCTATGGAAGGAGTGTATATTCCGTAAATTGGGCCGTGAAAATATAGTCGATGCAATCACGAACAAATGCGAGAGCTTTAGTTACACGCGAGTACAGTTGCTTAACGGCAGACCGCTATGGAGTTATGAGCACTATGGATCACATAAGTTGTTATATGGTTGTCAAGCAAAGACATGTAATAGCCAGGAATCCAAGACACAAGCCTGCTTCTATTTGCTACATGAACAGGTTTTCATGACTATAGGCTTTATCCCTTCTGTTGTACGTTAAAAATAAAGAATGGTGTGTAATGAAAAATGCATCATAACATTCGAGCACATTACTGGCAAACAATCGTGTTTTGAGCGTTCATTATCGCAAACAAGTTTTGTGATATAATTGAGGTGAAAGTAACTAAAATTTATGGACGAGCATTCATTGTGCGTCCATATACTACGTGTAAGTTCACTATGCAGAACCTCGTTCCCATCGAACTGCTTCAGATGCACATGCCATCTAAAAACCAAATATGGCTACCCAAAGGTTTCAGTGGTAAAACGACGATCAACGATTCAGGTCGAGTCAGGAACTTGCTAATGCCACTCGAAGTTGGTGGTAGGTAGCTTTGTTATCGTCTGGTTTAATTACGTATCCTACTGACCTTATGTGGNNNNGCATGGGTTGTTAATTACCATTAAATGAACATCAAGCCCTGGTCATTACGTGGTTTGTTCCATTCAGTGTTCCCAACAAAATTGCGTGATCTAGTCGTTAGCTGATGGGAAACTACCTTGAATATCTCCATCCGAATGTCTCGGAGGAACCGCGGCTTGTTGACTTCTCCGCGTTGACCGACACGCCGTGGAACCCAATTGTTCTCACGTAGGTCCAACAGATCATCGATCATGAACCGGACACGGGCCGGCAATGCNTTTCATAGTGCCTTTACCTCCATCACCGACTCGCTTCGGACGGCTGTTTACCCCGATTAAGGATTCATTCGTGTTAGCTCCATCAGAGTTGGTAGCAGCTGCAGTTGCGCGCGATAAAATGCGCTGCAACCGTTTGAAGTATTGATCCATTAGGTTGTGGGCTTTCGGTGTATCCATATACTTGCCAGCAACTTTCATGAATAGACAAAGGCATTCCATATCAAGTGCCAAGGACTCCTCCCTAGCTTTCCTATCTGGAAAGATTTGGAGAACAGCGAAGAGGGAAAAAACAGTTGAAATGAATCAGTAAACCAAGTGCGTGTGAACGTGCATGACCGAGACCGATCAATGGTTATTGTCTCGTATTTCGAACTAAAACAAATAACATCTGTAATTATTCCCGGTCGAATAGTTAATAGCAAAAAGAGAAGGCAAAATGGCATTGCATAACTGACAAACATTGTGTAAAATGCGATTGTGATGCAAAGGACTTCAACGGTTTATGTGAAAAGATATTGCGAGCACCGGAATGACGGGATTAGAGAAAAATAAAGCATTTGTGATAAACAACACACAATACCAGTTTCTAAAACAAACTTTTCTATACTTCACTCAGCTAAATTTCATTCCAATTCGAGTTTGCACAATGCGTTACCCCAGCTTGCACTGGCATGCTGCTGTTGGTTGCTGGATTTCAGCTATCTCCTAGTAGACCAACAAAAAAGGATATGCGTAGTGCAGAGCCCCATCACTTCATTGAAAAGCCTTGGGAGCACGGCTTCTTTTCTAAGGATAATCAGTAGTATACATCTGAATTTATTGGGACTCGAACTCGGGAACAAGATGATAATCTGACGCTTGATCCATTTGGGTTATCCATGACTCAGTAAATTGCTACGCGTCAAGACCACATATAATGGTCATCAGCTACCACAGTAGAGTGCCCGGAACTCATCGGAGCGATCGGCTCTGTTTAATTACTTTCCCATAAGGTTTCATTACGAATAATAAAATTTGTACCTACTGAAAATGAAGCTTTTATGAGAAGTGTCGAAGACAAATGAGAACGGATTGGAAGTGATATTCTTAAAACAGTAACCAGCCATTGCAATCTACTTGCATCCGTGCCTGACCTTAGTAACCCAATACTTTTCGTCTAACTTCGACAATGCTATCCCGGTTGTTCCGTCATACACGTAGAATGCGAACAGTGATGTATAAACACCGATAGTCTGCTTATCCTCCCCACATAATTGCAATGCATTTGTGCCATATAGCAGCACCGACTAAACACTTCCAACATAGACCCGATCCTTCACGGGAATACGAATGTTGCAGGGCACCACAGATGAACACAGTAGTGAACCGACAGAATACACACAACATTAATCTTTACAAATACAGTACCAAAATAGCTATGGGTTGTAAGAAAACTACGGAAATACAGGAGCAAAAGCTAGCCGGTTTGGATTTTACACCTTACAGCTTTCGCAACCATTAACCATGCATATTCATGCATCGGTTCTGGTTGCCAGCAGTTTGAACGACTGATCATGCACTTTCGTGCTGCGATTGTGGTTTTCGTCTTTTGGTTGCGCATTCGGATGAAGTAAGATTAAGCTGAACGCAGTCCAAGAGAAAACGGAGAATCCTGGTAGTTCAAAGTGACAGAAATTGAGATGCATGAGCGCCACTGCTTACGAAAGTCGTACCACTTACTTCCTCTAGCAACTGATTAGAAAGATCCGAAAGTTCTCACCCAGGAAGCGTAACGGTACATATATGAGCAAGTTTACTGGTTAGAGTCTGCATACTTTCATCGCAGGTTTTAGTTTGACCACCCTTAACTTTTATTTAATACACTGCCTGTGGCGGAAAATATCGTGCGCCGTGGTAACCTATTTGGTGGCATGCGTAACAAGTCCCAACTAACGTAATCTATGGAAGTCAATCACTTGCTTCAGTGAGTGACTGTGTACGTCTAAAACTATGCGCCTAATCCCTGCAATTATTATTCGATTTCCCCAACGATGCGTAGACAGCGGTTTGAACACTGTCAGCTCATCTATCTTATTTCTGTTATGGACGACGTATGATGGCACCGGCCGGATCGCTGCAGCGTAAATCCGAGCCTTCACAGACGACCGCAGGATGCGGCGGTGACACCAGCTTCAGCCTTTTTTCACCCACTACCTGTCTCTGTAAACATTGCACACCGGAGTTTATCAGTGATATGCGCAACACAGTCCAACTGAGGAAGTCAATCGAAACCGAGCACTTGCTTGTGAGCAAACACTATAAACTAATACTCTGTGCCTAACACTGACATTGCACGTTCGGTTGTTCTACCCGACGAGTACGCACGTCTGCGTCCAAACTCAAAGAACAAATCACGGTGAAAAAAAGACAAAGATCCATGATCCGCTGGTGGGCGCAGCTGAAAGGTTTCCCACGCCAAAACACAACTTCGTTAAACTTAGTGACTAATATGGACTCGGAGGTAACTAGCCAATCTCGCTTCACTGCGTGATTAATGACAAAAACAAACGAGTACTCCGACTATTCGATTGTTCTGCAAATATCCATGTAACAAAGTTTTTCAACCATCAACATAGTCATCGTACAGCAAAATACAGTGGACGAACTTCGCCGAGCGTTGCTAAGTTCACGATATACGCGAGGTAGATTAGGGTGTACGGTGGTTAGGAAGTCTGTCCTGAGCGAGAAAATAA